GGAGAAAACTGCATTTTTGTCTCTTTTGAAATTGGATTTAAAAATATAAACCATTTAAATGTAATGGCATCAAATGAGTGAAGAAATACATAATTTGCTCTCATGTCTATGAAAAATGTAATATAACAAGTTTAGATCCACTTAAGTAAGCTCATTTTAGTATCATGTAAGAATCAAAACCCTGTTTTCCAATGATGATTTTATTTATTATGGAGAAAAACAACAAGCCTTATGTTAAAAAAATACCTTTATCAGATTATTTTTATCCTTTCACACTGGAGGGCTTTTGAGAATAATAATTATCTTGGGAGTCATGCTATTTGAGCATCTGAGTTGGATTTATACCCGGGTTTTGACTAGGCCATTCTAAACCTTTCATTTAGATTTTTTGAATCATTCAACGATGAAGCAGCCGGTCTGCTTCAGATCAAGTGAGGCTGAGCAAAAAGCAAAGCAGAGCGAGACCTCCACACTTCCACAACCATGTTTGACTGTAGGTGATGCTGGTTTCCAAAATGTTGTGCACCATTTTGTTTTTTTGTTTTTTTAGAGTCAAATCAAGAACACTGAGCTTCACTGAGGTTAGAAGTGTGTTTTTAACCCTTTCATGCATGAATTATGATCCTTTGTGTCAGGATTTTTTTTCAATTTTTTTATTTTCTTAAGGAATAAAAAAGTAGGAAAAAAATTTGTAAAAAAAAATATATTTTTCTGTTTTACAAAATTATTTTTAGGTGATCAATTGTAATTTTCTCCAAATACAAAGTTGTTATTTGAAAAATACATCAGTAGCATTATTCTTTAGAGGTCATCTGATGTCACAATATTTTTTTTTTACCTGCAAGACTCGTCTACAGTAGAAGGAGGGACCGGGTCGGTCGGCATCCTTTTTTTTGTCTGTCGGCCATATTGGATTTAACCAAAAAATAATTTATTGCATTTGGAGCTGATGGCCAGTAGTTGATAGTATTTTTTATGATGCATTAGTGTCCACTTCAGTGGTCTGTGTGCATTTATAACATAAAAATCCACAAGAAGCACAAGGAAATGGCTTTTAGATAGCTGTCCACTGCAGTGACCACTATGCATGAAAGGGTTAATGGCTTCTTTTGTAACTTTCTGGAAAAGTTAGGGAAAAATGTTAGTGTACTAAGAAGGTTTACTACTTCTATGTTCCATGTTTCTTTCTTTAATGGATCTCATTGTTGTTCACTGGGGTCCAACCCCCTTTTGAAATTCTTTCCTGTATGATACATGAATTACATTTTTCTATCAACCATTCTTGATTTTTTTTCGAGTGGGATATGATGAATTGTCTTTTTTTTTTATATAGATTTTCTTTTTACCTACTTCATGTTGTCAGGCAGGTTCTGTTTAGGTGATTTCATTATCTACTTGTCTGGCAGTAAACAGGTTTAGATCTGGATAATGAAGATAAACAATGAAATGTGGTCAATCACAGTTGTCTCATAATTTAAAAAGCTTGATTTTAAATTTAGTTTGATGATCTGAAACACTTAACAGTGACAGTAAAAACATGTGAATTCCTCACCAAGGCGAGTTTCAGTTGTGCACATGTGACATCTTTTTGTAGAAACTCCAACCACAACCGTCCGTCAGTTCATGTATTGTATTATGTGACTGAAAGGCAGCTTTACAGATTGATTGTGTTTATTGATTTTTAAAAGATGCAGCATTTCATTTCATCTCTTCCTGGAAACCATGCTTGTAGTTAGTGGTTTGGGTTTCAAGCCTGCAGGTCTGAATTATTAATGTGATGATTACATGACACCCAAAGTAGGAAAAAAAAAAAACACACAAATTCAAATTTTACACTTCTAGAAGATTGCTTTTATTTTTAATATAATTTTATGTATAACTACAGTAATACTTTTATTTAGTCGTAGGTTAATATTATTATTAAAATAATTGGTCACTTCCTGGCATTTCAGCTTTTACCAGTTTCTTATATAACTGCAACCATTTTCTGTTAGACTAAACTCAGAAAACAACCATGTTTTTAAAGCAGAACAGCCCCTCCCCTACCTGTTGCTGTGCCTACCTCTCAGCAGGCTAAAAGAAGGCTTCTGCACTTTTCCCTGACAAAAAAGACAAATTGAGCTGTTTGGAAATATTTATTTTCCCAAAATATCCAGATATGACTTGTTAACTAAACTAGAGTCAAGGACTAGGACTGTAGTTTGGATATAGCAAGCTACATGCTAATGCTAATATATGTGTTGTAGCATCTTAAGATAAAACCTGCATTCATGAACAGCAACATTCCTCAATGCCAATCATTCAAATGATCAGTCCAATATGCTTTTGCTAAAGAATAGCTAACTTCTGATTCCCAATATAATTAATAAAGATAAGTAAAGTTGTAACCATATGCATTACAACAATGTTTGGGGTCAGAAAAAATTTAGAGTTTGTGAAAATCAGGATAAAAAAAAGAAAGAAAATTAGCTGTTAGAAAGGAACCTTAATTACATATACAGATTCTGCCTTTTAATGGGGATTTCACTTCTCATTATTTTTTGAAAACAACATGAATAGTATAATGTAATGCTTAATTGTTCATGCTTAATTGTTGATTTAAGTGTGTGACACAGTACTTTCTTTTCAACTAATTTTGGAGACACAGAGCAAGGAGTAATAGTCGAAGCACCTAGAGCCTTTGTTTTACTTTAGGATGCTTAACAACAACCATCAAGTCAATAACTCAGTTCTATCTTGAGTCATAGGTGCGTTATTTTATGCTTGGCTTAGTTTCAGGCAGGAATGAGGTCACTTACGGTTAATGGACTTGTGATATCTAACCCATTAGGTGAATTACGTTTTTTTTTTTTTCTTTCTAAGGCCGCTGTGGCTGTTTACACAGCTACAAGTTAAAATTGCTGCTCATCTTCAGCCACATAACGTCATAGCTTGTAATGCTCATATAATATAGGTAATACATGTGATGTTTTTTGTGATAACACATAATAATCCTGATAAGTTACCCTGTCAGACTTCCATATTCCCAGTCACTGACTTTGATGGAATAGCACATTAGGCGTGTATCAAGTTTCCAAATGATCTCTTGATCAGGATTTCAGCATTTCTCATTTCTTCAGTGAAATAATTCCAGTTTTTTGCAGCCAGATGCCTCATCTAAGCTACTTCAGGCATATAATGGTTTAGTGAAAACTGCGTAGTGAAAGTTTTACATTAATATAGATTATTGATGTCTCTTGGTCATATTTTCTGTTGACCTTGAACAGTTTTAACAATATTTTTATCTTTCTGATTTCAGCACTTACACACCCTTGAATTTTTTTTTTCCGTTTTATGTTTTAAAACAAAAACGTCAATATATTTTACTGCAATTTTATGTGTTAAACCATCACAAAGTACTGCGTGATTGTAAAGCAGGAGAAAAATATTGCATTGCTTTGATTGTTAGAGCCAAGACATGGTGCAAGCAAGTAGAGCATTAATCAGAGAAAGAGAAAGCCAAGATGGCAAAAAACGATCTGAAACGTGCAAAATAGAATATGTTGTGGAAAATAAATACTTATATCTGCCTGGACAACCCCTCTTAACCTTTTCCTGCATAGCGGTCACGACAGTGGTCAGCTATCTAAAAACCATTTTCTTGTGCTTTTTGTGGATTTTTACATTATAAATGCACACAGACCACTGAAGTGGACACTAATACATCATAAAATACACTATCAACTACTGGTCATCAGCTGCAAATGCAAGAAATTATTTTGGTTAAATCCAATATGGCCGACAGACAAAAAAAAAGCATGCCGACCGACCCGGTCCCTCCTTCTACCGTAGACGACTCTTCCAGGTAAAAAATGGCAAAGAATGAGCAGAAATGTCAGTTTCAGAATTTGAAAAGCTAGTAGACATAATCCAAAAGACTTGCCTCTATTATTGCACATTTTCTTCCATTTCACAACTATGTCTTAAGTTGTGTTTCTATGACACCAAAAACCTATTAAAAAAATACATTAATGGTTGCGGATGTAACGTGAAAAATATATAATGTTCAAAGGAATATTTCTTTTGGCAGGCACCAAACCTCATCATTTCAGCATTTTTGCAGGAGAGTAATGTGGATCTTAATAATGTTTTCTCCACTCTGTTTGAAATACATTAAGACACTCAGTCATTGTATGCTGAGCAGAGTGACTCTAATATGGCAAGTTGGTTTTGCCACAGCGAGAGCCAGAAACAGCAGGAGGCAGAGCACAAGAAACAAAAAACAAAAAAAAAAAAAAAACAAAGCCAAATGTTTTTTTCCATCGAAATAGCGGCTGGCCAGTTCAGCAGATGCATTCCTCCAGCCAGAAAGCCCAACGCTGTGGAGTGCCAAAGGGTTCTGCACATGTCACAAAGCTCTTCCTCTATCATTGCAACTGAATGCAGACAGATGGCTAATTGCTCCTCTGCGAAACTAAATATGGGCTTGCCTAAGTGTATGCTCACAGGTCCACCGTTGATGGCTGTGGACATGTATGACATTTATATTTTCACAAAAGCAAACAAGCCATTTTTTATTTATTTATTTTTTAAAATCCAGGGATTCAGCTCTAACAGGTTCCTGGAACTCAGACGCATCGAGCTCGGCTCTAAAAGGATGATTATTTCACAACTAGCAGATAAATGCGATGTTCAGCATTAGCGCCATGACAGCAGAAAAACACGCAGGCCTCTCATCATCGCTTCGAGGGCAGGAACTCAAATATACTAAATTATTCTGCTTTGTGTACCATGGGTCACAGTGGCAGATAAAAGCTTTTGTGATGGATAATGGGCATTGAAAGCTACAGCCTGAAAACTAGACGGCGATAGAAAAAAGAGCGGTTGTCAGAAACGGTGACGGATGTCTTGCAGTGATGTGGCGTCTTATACGGAGTGCAACTGAGAAATACCAGGGATATAAACAGTGACTTAACACTACACAAACTGAGACCTTTAGGAGGTTAAAAAAAACCTCTTACCAGCTATGATGGGAGCCAAGCGGAAGATGTCTGAGAGCCGGCTATTGACTGGTTCATATGGAGAGTATTCCAGTAAATCGTTACCTGCAGAACAAAACAAATTGTCAACACTGTGTGCTTGAAATTGCATGTGTGTGTGAGACAGAGAGACAGAGTGTGTTTGTCTTAATGGCATAATGGGGCCTTGTCATTACTTTCATCCTGTGGGGACGTCAGTGTCTTTGGAAACGAAAGTGGATTCCCAACGGTTTTGACAAGTAACAAGTAACTTATTTTGTATGCAACCAAAATGAAGCACAGTTCTGTTTATCACGTATCAGTGAAGCAGTATTTTGCTTTATATATGGAGGGACTGACAACTATTGAATACTTCAAAGGTTTTTTTTGTTGTTGTTGTTGTTTACAAAAAATTGACACCAGGCATTGGTAAAAACCCAAATAATCTAGACAAGACAAAACAAATGATTCCAGAAATGTAATTATGTGTAATGAGTGGAATATCACAGGGAATAAATGTTAGGAACATGAAGAGAAGAGGCAACAAAAATGTATGAAATTACCTGAAATCTATAGAATGTAGTTCTGCTTCCTCCTATTAATTTTATTATTGCATAAGAAGCAACTCATGATGGTTAAAAGTCAAGAGTTCTCTGTAGAGCTTCACGATCATATTGCTGCAAAATACAGCGATGGCACTGGCTACAGACATATTTTCATTTCCCCGTGAACTAGCCTTGACCAGATGTTTATTGCTGGAAATTTGTCAAAGGATTCAAAAGCATTATAATCAAAAGATTTTTCCAAGAGACAAGGACCACATGTAGAGCTTTGGAGGTGTGTATTCCATGAAGAAATGCACACAGCTGCCAAAGCTTCTATGCACACTAACTGCTTAATAGTTTTCTGCAAATTATTTACAGAAATAAATGGAATATGCCAGTGACGTTTGGTCAGATGAGACCAGAATTTAACTCTCTGAATGTTACTAACAGAGTCTGGGATGAGATTGTACGGCATATCACTTCAAATAAAATAATATAATAAAGTATTAATAGAAAACCGACACTCTTATTTAGGTATTATCTGTTAAATTTATTTATTTATTTTTTGCATTTACAGAATGTTACAATCATTGACTTGCTTGCACAACTTTTTTTAGTCCTCAACTTTAGATTGAGCATTAAAAATGCACATTAACACAATTCACACATCAAAATCCAGCTTGTGTAGATGTTTGGTCTGTCCTCTACACAACAACCTCATGAACCTCATGCATCATTACATGTCAGTATGTGTGAAGCTTATAATGTGTATCTGCCATGAGGAAATATGAAAAAGCTGACTCTGAATTCAAAAGCTGAAAATGTATATGTGCATTTCTGCAATTTGAGTCACTGAATGAGGAACAGTTTGACTTTATTTTTAAAATAATCCCATAAAATTACAGGCAAAGAGAAAAAATGGCCTTGTTTCCTATGGTCCAACACCCGACATACCTCAACCTTTACTTGCAAAGTGTATGCTCCTCATATAGAGCAGGGTTCATGCTTTGACCTCATACGTAATAAAAAAAATTACCCCAATAATTATTTAGCTTAATCAAAAAAAGGACCTGATTGCATTGTGTTACCAATGCATAAAGTTTTTTATATGTTTGAAACAAATACTTCAGCTGTTAAAGCTGCTGTCATATTTACATATTTAAATTGAAGTTCTTCTTTAAGTTTGTCTTTTGTTCTTTAAAAAACTTTTTTAAAAAAGGAAGCAGCTTGAATAGTACAGCACATAAAAGACATACTAAGCTCAGACTGTAACGTGAGATGTTGCAGTTGTTACCTTTAGGGTAATGATAATAAAACAAACGACTGTCTGACTGTAAGATGACTCAAAGTTAACCCAACATCCTGAGGCCACTGGGCTCTCCAGCTTATGAAGGCAACCATGACTTCATATGACGCGCTCTCAAGTCATTACATTTCCACTCTCGCGGAGTGTTGTGTGGGTCATTTCCAGTGTCTCAGTGTGATTCTGGCAGCCGATGAAATCGCAAATCATGACACATGAATATGTCCTTCTTGCCAAGGTTGGTGTTTGACCCTGGTGGAGTCATTCCTGCCCTCAGCTTTAAGTATTTTATAAGCTACCAGAATGGACTGAAAGGTGTCAGTTTATTTATATTTCCAACGACAAGCTGTGGAAGCATAGAATAAAAGAACAACGTTCGTTTTACTCAAACATACACATATAAAAAGCAAAATGAGAGAAACTGATCATTTTAAGTGGTCTCTTTTTTTTTCTCCAGAGCTGTATGTTGCTATTCATTCTTCTAGCTTTGAAAAGCAAGTTGGGGTCCAAAAGTAATGCTGCAGAATTTAATATTGAATAAATTTCCCTCTCATTTCCCTGATGTGTTCTACCATCGTTAGCCCAAATCTGCGACCAAGCGTCTCAGTCAAAGCATTTCTGCCACCTCCACTCCATTCTGGTAGGATGTCTTACTCAAAATCTAATTCACTTAGACAAGTCAAACCTGAACTTCATTATTCTGCAATGAACAGAGAGTTTTAGAAACAAAGTCTGACATTCAGTAAACATTTGTTTCATTTGTTATTTAGATTTAGACACATGTATTACAGTGGCCAACCCTGAACTGAATTATTCATTGTATTTGCGTATATTTTCTATGCATTATGCCTCCCTTGAGTTTAAAGCTCACCTTGTAAACTCTGAAATATGCTCCAAAAAATCCTGAGGCAGTTCTTCTCCTTCTTCATGCCTCTCCTGCACCTGCAGTTGTACAGGGAGCTCTGCTTCATGGCATCTATGGCGCTGCGGCACTCGCCCTGCGCCTCGGGACCGGTGACCGCGCTGAAGTTGCTCTCCCTCCCCGCCACGCACTGCCTCATCACCCGGTACTTGGTGCTGCAGGAGTACTCCCTCAGACAATGCTCGCTGGCCTTCACACAGTCCAGACGGGCTGCGCGGGAGGCTGCGCCGCCGTCACCTTTCAAGGTGACCACCGAATCTGAGAGTCGGGGGAAAACTCAAGTGAGGTTTGTGAATAAATGGAAACCATTAGACTGTTTTACGCGCGCCAGCGCTTGAGAAGGAAAATATGATGGCGTAAAATAGGGAGTGAGCGCTACAAACTTGATCAGTCATAACACAAAAAAATGGATTTACAGCGAGAAAATGAAGTTAAATCAATCTGATGCAGTTTATGGAAATGTTAGAAGTCTAAAGAAAAAAAAGCTACTTACCCCAAATGGATAAAATAAAGACAAAAGTTAAAATCATTGCGCTTTTTGGATGTTTTTCAGGATCTAATCAACTGTTGCTGGAATTAAAATAAACTGTGAGAAGAACTTGTCAGATCGATCCACTTTCCGTCTGGTTGCAGCTCAGGTGTGTTGAAATGACGACGCATTGTGTTAGATCCGACAGGGACAATCCAGATTCTGGAATAAAACCACCGCCTTGTGAATCCGTCGGAGGTTTTTTTTTTTGTGTGTTTCCTGCAAAGCCCTCAGAACAAGTAGCCTAAGTCATGAATCAGCGCTGACTGACTGTTCCCACTTCGCTCCGCTGCTGTGCCGCCTGCTCTGACTGAGCAGCCGAGGCGCGCTGACTGAGTTGCGCATGAGGAGGACAAACTTTCTAAAAGCACAACAGCGAAAAGAGTCGCTGCTCTAAGCAATTAGTGGAATTTAATGAAGGTTCGGAGAAAGTTGGATTTGTCCATCAATGCGCTTAAATTATATCCCAACATCTGAAAAAGTAAAAAAAATTAAATGAAATAAAATTTTTAAAAAAATCCTCCCATGCAGAGCAGGTGAAAAGACAAAGTAGTGACACTTTGATCCGGACCGTCCTCCACTCCGTGGGGAAACTGAAGGGATCGAGATGTGCAACCCACGAGATATGTGACGTCATGCGTCTTTCCGCCGACTGATCGTAATAAAACCTTTAGCATCCGGACCTGAATTTAAAGGAACATCAGTACTCGATCTACTTAATTTTGTATGTGAGGAATGTTGGATTATTTTACTAATTCAGTCCAAAAAGTGAATGTCAAATGGATTCAGTACACAGAGTAATTAATATCTTTCAAACCTTTATTTCTGTCCAGTTTGATTGCTAAAGCTTGTAGCTTCAACAAAAAACCCAAAATTCAGTTTTTATCACACTGGAATATAACAAAGTCAATAAAAATAGTTGTTATAGACATTCTGGAGGTGTGTAAACCACAGAATACCATAACTAAAGATGCTGGGTGCTTATAGTGATGTGATGCTTATAAGAGTGCAAAGTACTGAGTGTTTGCCCATTGATTTTGGGTCCTCTATGCAGATTAAAGTGAATTCAGTAAATTTTCTCTTATTTTTATTATTCTTATTTTTTCTTAAGTCTTAGTCTGGAGGAAAATTGTGCACTTGTCATCTTGTGTTTTATCAAAGTCAGCCATCTGTTATCAGACCAGCAAACTCACCTGACCTATATAAGCTTAAGTGAATATGCTTAACAATTATAGCAAAGTAATTACCTTCATATTAGTCCACCATATCATACATTTAAGAATAAGTAAGAATAACTGGATGAGGCATTTCTTAAAAGACATGTTCATATATTTCTGCATAATACAGGTGGCTTACATTTTTTTTATTACAGTGCGGTTACAGTGCTGAGCAGATTCCTGTCTCCTTTTTAAATTTCCATAAGCATGCACTTTAGTCCTGGTCTCTTTTCCCTCAGCCAGACAGTTTTATATGCAAAAAATGAATAAATTTGCTCTAATGGTAAACCTCCTTTTCTTCCCACTTCATTAAAAAACTATTTATTACCAGTTAATTCTTTATTGAGAAGGCCAGTTTGTTAATTAATTGAATCCTAAAGCTCCTAATTTCTCACTAAGTTAAACCATATTACCTCTAAATACTGTTTAAATCAGTTTAAATCGAGATAACCTGTAGACCACATGATAGCTGATTGTTACAGTATTATTATTTCCTTTGAGTAATTTCAAGACATTTCAGTCCTTCCCTGGATAACTCAAAGTGGAAATTGGGCAGAGGGGGAAAAAAAACATATTCTGTCTGTATCTAAAATTGAAAATGCATTATGATAACTGCAGGAAGAACTTTTTCTATTAAAGTTTGTTCTTCTGCATTAGGAAATCAAGATTCTTATTTACAGGCCGGGTGCAAATCGAGGCGGAAAATTGTGCAGGAACTCATAATCTCCAACCTCCTGCACACATGTTCCTCACTCGTTCTATTCATGCTCACAAACAGCACAAATTTTAAAGGACCAACGTTCAATGTGGTGAGCATTCAGTGACCAGGGGTGTTGCCCAAAATAAACTTTTGAAATGTACCTGCATGCGAAAACCTCGGTGGGAAAGGTCGCTGTTGTGAACTGTAAGGAAATATTCCTCTACATCACAGGTATCTTTTGTCTGATTCGCAGTTTCTCTGTTTTAATGCTAAATTTAAGGGCAATATTTAATTTAATTTTATTTTTTTAGGGGACTTTGACTAAAATTTATGTTTTATATTTAAAAATATAAGACACTTAAGCTGGTCAATACCCAAAAGGATTGTTCTGCAAATAAATAGTGTTTCCTGTGAACAATTTGTTTAGGTACAGGTTTCTAGTATAGGCTGGACTCCATTTTGGCTTTAGAACTGCTTTTAGTCTTTCTTAGAATAATTTAGAAAAAGCTAAGGATGATCAGCTGAATTTTATTTTTTTTTCAGTGGCTGATGATGCTGCAAATTGTTTTGTGCAGAATTTGGATCACAGTGTTTTAGGCTAAAGGACTCTTATTTCTGAGTAGAAGTTTCTCTATTAAAGCCTGTTCAGCATGTGGAGTTCCTCAAGGCTTGATATCAACGCCACGGTTATTGTCAGTTTGCACAATTCCTCTTCTACTCCTTTTTAATGTAATCTCTTCTATTTATGCCGATAACATTCAGCGTATGCAGGTTTTAAACCCTGCATAATAGCCAAATTGATCTGCTGCCTGTAAAATTGGCTGATAATTAATTTCCTTTGCAGTCTAAGAAAGGAGAAATAATATTTGCATCCCCATTGGAAAAATACCCAATGACTATGCAAAGGTACAGCATCACTGTGAAACTTAAACCACATGTGAATGTCTCTGAAAATAAGATTATTATATTCCTGGGACCAACCATCTGGAAATTAAATGGAAAAAATTAGCACTAACCACTGAAACATGGTTTATTGATACCAATTTGCCTACCATCACACTCAGATGTCTTCTGAAGTGTGCATTTCTAAACATGTATATATTGTGTTATTCTGTGGATTTTTGAATGAGCTGATAAAGGCATGACAGCAAAGTGTCCAGCTGACTGGACAAAATTTATGGGACTGTTTAAATGAATCAATTGGACGAGCCGATCAGATTACTTTCCTCTGGATGCAAGTCAGGGGCCATTTCCTGACTTAAGTAAAAGCCAGACATTTACGGCATTGATTTGTGTATTTATGACATTGTGCGGAATAGAAAGATCAAGACCTTCCTGTAGTCTCATAACTGCATTTTTTATAACAGAAATATCATCTAGCTTTGTCCCAGCAGACGACCACCTGCGCTGTTAATCCACAAGATGATTCCTCATCTATAATAATGCAGATTATCGGATGGACTCCTGTAAATGCACTGAGCCATTAGAGCAACAGGCCAATATCTGTCAGCAGAGCTGGACCTAATTAATTGCTTTAAACACTTCATTAAGTGTTGGATGTATGTGCCGTATTGAGCGCGGCATTTGTTATAATTGATAACCGATGACAATGAAATCTGTAACCTAAGCTTTGTGAAATACTTGGGGGGGGGGGGACTAAATTAAATGATAACTGCCATTTCAAATAATCACATTTTCAGGATTAGAAACTTTAGAATAAAATTGTCAGGAGAAACTAGATTAATCGCCATTAATTAAAACCCTGTTGAGGTGAAGAAGCCACTAGATTTTAGGTTTCTGGGGGGAAAAAAGCTAATATCTTATTTTCTTCTTATAATGCGTCATTCCTAAACAAATGAAGAATCTATACTGAATCAGCAACAGGAAGAAACTCAACCTCTGGGGTCCTTTGCTCATCCATGGGAGGTTTCTTCATTACCTTGCAAAAGTTCTCCTTCAGCATTTTCCGTTCCATCTCCTTCCATTTATGGGGATCATTTATTTGATGTGTCCCCCAAGAACGCTGGAGCCGTTTCCGCTCGGGCTCATTTCCAGGGTTGAGATTTATTTGGGAATAATCAATATCATTGTTATGTGTATATCACAGGATCAACACTAACCAATTACTGTGCCCAGGACCGGTTTCTGCACCTCCGACAGGAAGCTATAAATCAAATCACTCGTGGCTCATGTCCTGTTAATGGACCGGCCAGTCAGACCGCTGTTCATCTAAATTGCTAATAATCGTGGAGTGGATCAGGAAGGTGTGCCTTACTGATGAATTATGTGCTTGATGCCTCTTCATAGCCTCGTATAACATTATCTAAATAACATTTATTAAAAAACCTGAAATTTTAAAAGTACTCAAAGCGTTTTCTTTCCTATTTTTTAAATAGTAGCAGATGGTAGTCACCAGTTATTGCAGAGAAAATGCAAACATGAAGAAGAAGGATCTTTGTATTGATGAGACTGTGATTTAACAAACAAAATGCTTTATGTTGTGTAAATCTAAGGCTGGCAGTAAACAAAGAGTATTACTAGAAGAAAACCTGTTTGAGGCTGTAAAAGACCTACAACAGGGGAAAAAGTTTACCTTTCAGAAGAACAGTCCTAAGCATACAGTCAGAAATATGATGGACTGATATTTCTGACTGGAATCATTCAATTTATGATGGAATCATGTTTTTATGTTTGAAAGGCCTAGTCAAAGCCTGGAGCTTCAGTATATCCCCTGGAGAATCTCAGGCAAGACTGAAAGATTTCTGATCACAGATGCTCTCAAGCCAACTGTACTGAGTTTCAACTATTTTGCAAAGAAGAATGGACAACATCTACCAGATGTGCAAAACTAGTAAAGCCGTACCCCCCAAAAAACGTTTTTTTCAGCTGTAAAAATGACACATAGGTTCTTAAAGTTCCTACGTAGTTTGAGAAACTAAATCCAAACACAACACATACAGATGCACGTTGTGCAACATTTTGTTTATCTACTGCAAAACATAAAAGACCAACTATTACAACACACCACAGCTTGTGACAGCATTTGAAGTAAATACGTTTTCAGATCATAGTGCCTATTTGCATGTTACGAAAATATTCTGCACAGCAGTTGTGACAAATAAAATGTTAGAGTTCCTGACATTAATTTGTGTGAGTAAAAACACAAATTAATTAATTCATTAATGCTACTTCGCCATTCTTGCCTTAGTTTTATGTTCACAGCTGTTTAATAAACAGTTTCTGATAGTTGGTTCCTTGTAGTAGAATTATACAATCTGTTTATTTAGTTGACACATTTGTGCTAGGTTTCTTTACTGACTGAATAACAGATGCTGTGTGCAGCAGCAGTTACAAGTTACGCTGAACAAATAAGTGATTATTTCTGAAGGAAAGAGTCTCTGCATGTTAGGAGGCGGAAAAACATGTTTATTCAAGCCTCTGTGGAAAAAGAGGAAACACTGCCATCTAGTGGAAAGAATTATGACTTGCAATCTCTTTTTTTCCCAGTATTATTATGTTCAGGCATTTGGCAGATGCTTTTTATCCAAAGCGATTTATAACAATGCAGTTAATAGGACAGCTAGGAGCAACTTTTGCTTGAATTTTAATTCTCCCTCTTTTGGTCAATACATATAATACATATATTTAACTATATAGATACATATAGTTGTAATAAATAAT